CCCATGAACGGACTCACCGAAGTTCTCGGTTAAGTTGCTAACTCGAGAATCTGAAAAGCTAGAAGATTGTAGTTTTAAGAAGTCCCCCGGCCACGTAGGTCTTATGAGCTCAAACCCAGCCCTCAGGTATGCGTCGTTCCTATGTACGAGTCCGTGAATTTTTCTGTGGTAAGTTGTTAACTCAGGAACCATGAAAGCTAGAAAGCCGAAATTTTAAAAGGATGTTTCCTGACAGTCTTGGCGGCTTGTCTTAGTTTTTTAGCTAGAAGCATCTGCCGGAAAAACCGATGCCGCTAGCGACAAAAACTGCGGGAAACTATGCAAAAAACGCATCTTCGCACCGGCAGTCGATGCGTTAGCCAATTATTGTTCACTGCGGCGATGTTGTAGTGCAGCATAGCAAAAATGCATGAAAAGGAAATATGAGCAGTGGAAAACGAGAGGCTCTTTAGGTAAGCGCATGCAAGTTTGCCGCCTTGCTGGCAGTGCTCCCATACATTTCGAACTGTCCTCGTAAATCTTGATCCAGCCTTCATTTTGCTTACTTTCTGATATTGCCAATGCTCGCTATTTGTACTCTAGAATTTTTGGAGTTGTACTGAGTTTAAGTCATTACTGCCAGCGTGACATCGTAATTTGTAGGTGCGGGCATAAAAGTACATAGTTCTGTATCAGTCACAAAAAAATTCATGTTCTTTCTAATCGATTTTATAATGATTTGAATATGTCACCCAAGTAGTGTGTAATAATTCTGTTGTTCTTTATTCTTGCACCCTAGAGGTGATTTAATTTTTAAAAAATTCGAGATTTTTGTTCGTCAGTCTTCAGTCACGTCTGCCAAGAAGGTATGGTCGAGCAGCACGAGTAAAAAATCCATGTGCTTCCTGCAAAATTTTTCTAAGTTATGTTTGTTGTTGAAAGAGCGGAAAAGTGATGAATTTTTTAAGAAAGGAACTGCTGCTTTTGCCGAATCCGCCTCAATGATTCGATCCTTCAAATTAATTTATTCGGATCTTGCAGATCGGGCGTACGAATTATTAGAAAATGCAAAGAAAGTGTTTTGTGGGGAAGCATTTCTTACCATTTCTTCATGTATATTGCAAATGAACAGCTAGTTCAAAATGAAGCGCGTGAGCGCTGATATGAAATATTTGCCTTTGCGGGGCTGTGCAGGTCTCAAGCTTGTGTTATTCGGGCGATTTCAGCATGAATTGAATTGCCAGATAGAAAACCTACGTTAGTCAGAACTTTTATATAGCGTGACCGCGCGTCCGGGCTTATGTGCTCGAAGTGTACGGTGCGAAACAGTCGATCCGCATTGATTAGAAACTGGCGGTAAACATAGTCATCAAATTGAGGGTAGTAAAGGCGTAGGTCCGCTTCGTGCTCCTCCAGCCAGCGCACTGCCATATGAGCACGACGGCATGCAGCCTCTTCTAGATTTTTTGCACCTTGACGTGGAAGCTTCGAGTCATTTTCAAGCAACCAGAACAGTTCGTTAAACGTCAGGAACTGCAAGATCAGGAATTTATGCTCAGTTCGTCTCGATTCCATACATACAGACATTCGTAATCCGTGGCGGATCAGAAAATGTATGATTTTGTACGTCACACGACAACGAACAAATTGCTAGAATACTAAGGCTTTCGAAAAAAAATCAGAAAGGAGGCTAAGTGTTTAACTCAGGGAAAGGAAGAAAGCCGAGCTCAGGTAAGAACTGCGAACCGAAAATTTTGGCTCCGGTTGTTGAATACATTTTTAGCATAAATTTTCATTCTCAGTGCGTCTACACACCTGTAGATAAAACTGCCCATAAGGTAATTTTTCGTGTAGGTGCTTGGAATTTGCTGTTGCAAAAAACGGTGAAGAAAAATCCAGGTGTGTTAATGCAAAATACAAACAAACTTCAACACTTCGCTGCTAATAGCTTAAGCTGAGAAACAAAAAATTTTTCCATGTTATATTTACTTATTAGTAGATCTGCATTATACGAAGCATCATGAATATAGAAAAGATAACAAGGTCTATTTTCGAATGTTACAAAACAGAATTTGGTGAAAGAGGATGGAACAGAAAGGAAGGGAGTACCACCTTGAGCTCTGGGAGCTGCATTCAAAATCTAACCCACTTTTGCCGATCAGAAGAAATTTTTAGCTAACTACGTGCTCTCAAACAGAAAGCCGTTGTGGTCTGCGAGGGAAGCATCTCCTGTTCTCCAGCTTATTTGTGAAAGCTAATGCTTATTTTGTGGCTTGCCTCACACCTATTGGTCTGCTTCCGCATATGTTTACGTAGGAGTCTAAGCTTGAGGGTCAAGCCCACGGTATTTCTTGCATCGTCATGAAATTTGAACGAGTCTCTGTGTACCGTTCTTCAGCTTCGACTTCAGTTCTCACCGAAAGGCCTAATACTCGAGCGTTTATCACTATCATGGTATGGTCAGACAGTTTGGAATCGGTCAATTCGTCATTATCTTCAAATTTCTGGTTAATTTTGCTTTAGAGAGGGCGGATTAAAGACAACAGCTATTACTAACATATTTTGCTCGTACGGGTCATCCACTAGAAGTGCTTTTATTTCAATGGTAGCAGAAACTAGACAGATGAGCCCGACTGGCAGAAGTGCGCGGTGAACAACAGCAATATGCTGCAGAGTTCCGTGTAACATCCTGGATGAATTCATGGCAGGCGATAATTAAAGTGATGAACCAAACAGCAGTGAAAGTCACACTCTCATAAAAAAGAACAGAACAAATAGGGGCCCAACGTATTTTTACGCTTTTGTAGTATGCTGCCGTGGGTACCTGTTAATGGAGACACTAACTGCTTTCAAAGGATCGGAAAACTTTAGGAAAGGATCAAAATTTTGCATCCAGCAGCTGCTTGGAGTTATTATTCCGTACACGGATGTGGGATGATAAGTCAAGGTGGAGCTTAAAAGTTGATTTCCAGTGTTCTTCGGACCATCTATGCGGCATCATGTACGCAGCGAATAATCCGAAAGTTTTGAAATTCTAATTTGCTCCATTTTGTATTTATAATTTGCTTTTGAAACTAATATCAGATATTATGAAACCGTTAGAACAAAATGCTGCTTAAGTAAAACAATGACCCGAAACTTCCAGTCTGTAGCGAAAATTCTTAATCCTCCCCATAACTGATTACCTTGAATTTAACCTACAGCCATAAACCATATTAAAATGAGGTTCGAAGGCTGAAGCTACATGTAAAAATTGTGGAACACTTCTATGTTCGGACCACCAAATTCTGTTGCATATTCGGTTGGTTAACTAGCAGGTAGACCTTGAGTGACTTGTTTTGTTTCACAAATTCTTCATCCATCAGTGACCAAATAGTATGCAGCAGATTTCTGCCGACAATCTGCTGGGTTTCCATTGTTACGCATCGCATAGTTCGCTCGTCCTGTAAAAAATGGCTTAAATTTTGCGCATACTTCAGCTGCTTCACGTATTTTCCATGTTTGGTCTCAAGAAAGTTGAACAAACTCCATCAGCAGCAATCTGCATTCTGCTGCACTGATCAGTCCATGTTTGAATTTATATTTTGGTCAACTATCTACAGTTCGAAAGCTGGCCACATTTAAGAAAATCTATAACTCATTGGCTTGCTCCATAGGCAGACATGTGCTCACACACGCATTACTTTGTGATCCCAAATTGTACGCGGGCAGATATGTGTCCGCGTATAATTTACTTTTATTTTCCTTTCAAAAGGTATGTTATCAGCAGCAGATTAAAGTTTTAAGTGCCTTCACTCGAGCCGTACAGAAATGTTGATTTGTTTAGCAAATAACAAGAAGGGTAAAGAATCCAGCTCAAACCTATAAGTTAATCGCAAAAAGACTTAAAACAAATTGTAGTAATTGAAAATTTGATAAACTTTCATCACTTCCAATTACGCACGTAGTGCAATTGTTATTAAAGTACTGAAAGCATGAACTTTTAAATAGTCTTAAGTACCTGGAAGACAATTTTATAGCAATCAAGAGCGATTGTTGGGTTTGTAGAGCACTGGCGAAGAAATGTTTCCAGCAAACGGCTCAGATCCGACATTTGAAAAAACAGCGCACACTAGAAATTAATAAATAGCGGCGGCCATAAAAATAGCTAATGCAACTATGCGTTTTGCGCACGTTTGTTGTCAAGAATTTTCACTGTTTTACATTTTGCTGCGCGCAACAGTCGAAATATTATGTGGTTCCTAAACTACGAAATTCTCCGCTAAGAACTTCAAATGACACATTTTAAAAAGTAAGCGCAAGTGAGGGTTGAATTTAAGTTTATAAGGTTGCACATGAGCAGAAAACGTCTTCTGGTAATTTTGGCTATCTTGTCTGATTTCCGAACCAAAAATTTCCCGCGTGAAATTTCTGCACCTCCGCGTGACTTAAGCAGACGTGAAAGTCCAGTTTTAAATTGCATATTAAAGGGAGCTTTCATCCCAAATTCCCAACTTT